AATTTAGCGGGAACAATTTAGCAGTGCCGAAGCACACACAAACAAAAATCACACCCTTTGGGTTGTGACAGGTTCTTGCTATACTGGGATCCTGATGACAGGAAGTGGATCTCTTTGAGTAGCATAGAGGATTGTCCAAATAGAGCAAGAAGCATGCAACTGGTCTGGACAATAAATGTGTGTATGTGGAGGGGTTTGGCCACCAAGTATTAGTTGTTCAGATTGCGTGTGTACGTGTGGAAGTAAGGACAAGTTGAGGTACTACTTTAATTGTTCAGAAGAAGCCCAAGGTACATGGGAAGTATTTCTCTGTCATCCGCTCAATGACTGGCCAAGTGGAAGTAAAATAAAGGCTCTGCAAAGGGATTAGCAAACAGCCCAGGACCCTCATTTGCTTACTTCCCGAGCATGTTGCGGCCCACCTCTGGACCAACTCCTACCTGAAAAGGCAGGTTTCCACTGAGAGGAGCTGTGGCATCAACAGCCCCAAAGCCTCAGTTCCTGCAGCCTGACTGCTGCACCCATGATTGCCTTCAATTAGGCACAGCTGGGTTGGCAGGGGCTTACCTGCCTTCAGCTCAGCACCTTGCTGCAGAGAGCACCTGTGCTTTCTCACAGAGCTCAGTAGGGAGAAGCAGAAAGTCCATTTTCTTCCTGTTGAGGAAATCTTTACCATGCGAGGTAAGCAGCATCTCTTGGGCTCTTCCTTAAGTAGGGAAGTAAACAGCCAAGCTGTTTCTCCCTCCCTCTGTTGCTTTGGGAGCAGCTGTCTAAAGTGGCAGCTTATGGAGGATAAAGAGGAGAATTATGTATTTTTCAACCCCCATCTGTGTCTGAGTCCCACTCTTCGCTCTCAAGAGAAGCGATTCTCAGGGTAGGGAAGAGGCTCAAAAGCAAATGGAAACCCTGTAGCCCCTGTGCTGTATGATCAGACGCTCGGTGTCTCTCTTAAAGCGGGTGTTGGGACTCCAGGCCGGGTGTGGATTCTGCTGAACAAAAGATACAAGATGGGCACTCGAGTGTGAAACCTATGCTGTATCCGACTTTCTTAATACACTCCTACTGTTACAGACATTTCCAGACCCCCCTCTCTCTCTCTCTCATAGTGCTGCAAGGGAAGCCAAATACAATGCAAATGGCCAGACTCCTTACTCTGTAATGCTTTCCTCTCTGGGAGTCCTTCCCCAGGGCTCAAACAAATGTAAAAGAGGAGGAAAACCAGAAAAACTAAGACAAATCAACAGAAAAAAAAACAAACCCGGGACAGCCTTACCCTGAGCAGCACTCTTAATCTGGAAAGATGAAGTGAATAATTGCTACTAGCACTTTGTGGAAGCTAGTAAACTTAGCCAGTAAGTCCAAGCAAACTTATCCAGTATTTCTAATGAGGTAACTTCACAGCTAGTTTTACACTTTACTTGAGAAGTGCATTGTTGCTCCATTAGTTTTTCTCCATGATAGTTTGTTCACATTTTAATAGCAAATGATCCTTTGCTCTCAAGGGCATAGCCAGAATGCACATTTCTGTGAACCTTACTGAGTTATGCTAATGACTGAAGTTGCAACTAAATGGGTGGTGATGTCATTCACTGCTAATTTGGATATTTAATTGGCTGCTTTACATAAAGATATTAGGTATAACAAGGTAGGAAAAGACGACAAAACAAAGTAAATTTTGATGACAATGTTGCTTGTGGTACAAATTATGATAAAAATGAAAAGATGGATTGATTTTTTTTTTGGCTATAAACACGCACTTTATTAATTCTGCTAGGAGTAATTATCTACTTAAGACTTCATAAACATCAAACACTTCTCTGCACACGGTGATGCCACAGGATTGATAAGCACCATTAAACACTGTAGTAGAATCGAGACCACTCTAATGATCTCCATCAGATGCATTTCTTTTCTTTTCAAACAAATATCATGGATGGCTGGGGATTTTAAATGTAATTTAAGGAGTTACAGTTACTAATTTCTTTGGCTTTCTAATTTGGAGCCTGATTCTGTAACTTTACTCCGAGAAAACATCAGCGGAGTGATTGAGAGGTTTTGTTTGAGTGAGGGTTTATGGGCGTAAGTCCTTTATTAGGTTATATAATACTTGGTTTTTTTATTTTTATTTATTTCTTTGTTTGTTTTTTTTTTTTTTTTTGGGGGGGGGGGGGGGGTTGGAACTGCTGAACACCCATTTTCCAAATAAAGTTAAGGGAGTGGCGGGTGCTTTGCTGGTAATATATGCTGTTATGACAACCACAGAATTAATTCCTTGTATTTCTGCAACTACTGGATGGTGTAGCAAGGGAACTAATCCTTCTGACCTGCTTACCTCCAATTATTTACCCTTGCCAAGTCTCTCGTGTATGGATCCGGTAGAAGCCAAGATTCGGTATAACTAGTTTAGTTTAGTTGAATTGATCACACGGTGACCTCTTGAAACTAGTTGACTCCATAGGACAGAGCTCAAGTTTCCCCATGTCTGACTATTTCCTAATTACATCTCATAGGTTTCATCATAACATGCAACACTTGTTTCTTTGTAGCTACTAAGAACCCTAACACATCCATGGTATCTTGCAAAAAATCTTAGACCCAAGCTACCCATTGCTGTGCCCACGTAAATCCTGCCATGGGGTAACTGAGGACAGGACCTGATTTGCAACAATTGCTTGTTGACCTGTCACTTAAGGGTTTGGTTCTAGCCATTTTTTGTCAGTAACTGTGCTCTCAATGGCACCTTATAGACTAACTTGTTCAGAGAGGCACGAGCTTTCATAGGCTACAGTACATTTCAGAATCGGATCTGACAGAGTGGGCTCTAGCCTACAAAAGCTCTTGCCTCTGAATGAGTTAATCTGATAAGGTGCTGCCCTGTCCTTCCTTCTGCCTAACTTCAGACTCATGTAGCTACATATCTTTGCTGCTTGCCATGAAAGTGCCTTCCAGGGAACGTGAAAGGCTTGGAGTAGAAATCCAGGTAAGATTCATTGATTCTAAAATTAACTTTCCAGGAATGTTACCTTTGCCCTGGGCTCCACTTTGTCAGGGCTGGGTTGAGACAGGGTTCAGTCCTTCAAGTGAGGCAGGGTCCCTGATGCACACACTTTGGGCTCAAGGATCCATGAGGAATGTCATCCATCAAAAAGCTGTGACCTAAGCAGGGACCAGGAGGAATTTATTGACAGGATAAAACATCAGGAGTGCTACTGCCCAGCTCCTTCCCTCCGGTAGTTTTGACTGCCTATGCTCAGCCAGGTAGCAACCTTGGCACAGAGCTAAGGGCAGATGACCAGCCCGGAGGGAGAGCTGCGCTCTTATCTTCCCTCTGTGCCCACTTCAGTTGAGCTGTCCGTCATGCGCTTCTACCAAGGCTGCTTGATCACTGTTAATTAGTGCTCACTGAAGTCAGGGAAGAAGGTTTGTGTATCGGAACTGGATGGGAAATGCACAGATGCTTAGCAGTGGTATGGTCGGGGGGAGTCCTTATGACCATTTGATCTTAGTTGTGAGCAGAATGACCCTGGACATTTTACCCAGTTGGTTACCCCTGTTTCCAGCTCGGTGATTGCACTCCCGGTTGGGGTCTGATTTTTTGCTACGAAATCAGATTTGTCAGAGAGCTTGTTTGCAACACTGCTGTTGCCTCCCCCAAATGATTCGACTCCTGTGCTGTCCGTCCTGTGCTCGGTGGAGGAACTTGCGCTTTGTGTCCTGAGTCCTGAAGGTCTTTAAATCTCTAAGAACTGTCTATCTGATGAGACGGGAAGGAAATTTGCTGAAGCAGTACAATATGGAGAAGAGAGCTGTGCCTGGCTCACTTTTTATGGAGACTTTTTCCTTTTCTTCTTTTGTTTCCTATAGGCTACAATGTGAAGTCATTCAGACTGCTATTTATATGCGAAGAAATGTAACAAGGTGCTATGGTGTCGCTGGGTTATATAACTGCATCCATGCTATAAATGTGCCTGTGAATTATGCTGGAAGTGTTAACAAAGCTCTGGAAAGTGATGAGAGGGGTTTTGATTTAGGATTGTCTGTTCTGATGGTGAATAACTCTTGCTAATAGACACGCCTCTGGTCAATGGGCTCTCCTCTGGGGAGAGTGGTTGAGACTCAATGGGTGCAAGTTTGAGCTTTGATCTGGCTGATTGTTAACACCCAACTACAGCTGACCCATCTGTAAATGGGTACCTGGTCATTCAGGCTTCAGAGGCAAAGGCAGCTAGATGCAATGCTGGCCACAGCACTGTGTTGCAATGCTGCTGGCAGCTGCAACTGGTGTGCCTGAATCACACCAGCCCAATGGACTGTCAGGCTTTGGTGGGGCATTGATCTTTTGAAATGTGCCCTATTAAGGTATTTGGTCTATATTGCCTTTACACATATGGCTCTTTTAGGATTAAATGAACAGCGAGTAATTTATACAGACAAAGGCTATCTTTTCTGAGAAGGAAATATTGTGTGTGTGTCTGTAAAGGTGGTAGATAGTCTTGTGAGTAAATTTCATGGTGCAAACTGCATTAAAAAAAAAAAAAAAGTCAATTGAGGTTTTTATAAAATAAGCCCTCTGTACTTCTACTCAACAGAACTGCATGTACACTAGTTAACATGGATACACGCGCTCTCCTCTGAACCCTGCTGCCCGGGGGAGCTGAACCTTCGTTAAAGTTCAAGTCAAAATTACAATTTTTCATATGTTCTCTTTTGTCTATTAATATGTAAAAACACACAACTGT